CAGTAAGTAGCTGTAGATTTGCTCTCCCTCTTCCTAAGTTACTGGATGAAAATGCACACTGTTTTGAAATGAGGAGGTTAAAGATCAAAACACTGACTGCCCCTGCAGAGTTTAAATGTCAGAAAAATATGAACACACTTGAAACCTTTCCTGGCTCTTTGTGATTCTGCCCTTTCAGACGGTCCCCCATTTCTAAGTCCCATTCTCTGAATCTACTCTGCTGGAGACTTGCTGGCTATAAAAAGCTTCTTCGCCCTAGGACCAAGTGCAAGGCGCCTCTGGGGGACCCCAGTAAATGATGGGAGCCTGTTGGCAGCCACGGACCCACAGCAAGCGGCCTGCAGCCCTCTGCCACTCCCACACCTGGGAAAGGCGTCTGAAGAGGAAGGGAGGAAAGGGCTTGCCAACAGTGTTAGCATCTGCAAGCAAGCGGAAGGCCAAATTTTGCTTCCTGTGGCAGGATCTGCTATAGAAGCTCAGGAGCTCTGGCTTTCACCTGGGGATTAGGATCCGGCAGGAAGAGAATTTGACAGGGGCGTGTCCCATTCTCCCAGCTCCTGACATTATTCTCCAGAAATAAAAAGGCGAGTGTAAGCTTGGACTGGCTCTTCGAGGCAGCCCCTCCCCAACCCCTCCCCTTTGTCACATTGAAGGGGACGACTTCAGAGGGCTTCCCGCCTTCCCAGCAAGCCCTCATTCTGTGGTGGCCCCTGCTGCTACTTGTGGGCAGGAAAACATATCCAATGCACAGTCACTGTGACCACATAATGAATGCCCAAGAAAGGGAGTCCTCGGCTTCTACACAGAGCAATGCAGGGGAGAGTTCCTCCAACAAAGCCGTGAGCTGCCGCTGGTAGCCAAGAATTCCCATCTCAGAGGTGGGGCGCAGTTACGGTACCTACTGGATACCACCGTGCTTAGGACACTTGGAACCATTTTCAGTGTGAGAAATCTCCTCTCACTGATGACCAAGGAACCCCCTCTTCCACGTTGTGCTACTCTACTAATGCACTTTATTCTGCTGTTTCCGGTTGAGCTTTTCTGGACGATGCTGATAACTAAACCCTACCCTGGATGGTCAACTTGGATGGGTGTAAGCAGGCAGAGGAAGGTGGAGGGGAGGCTTGCCACAGTGCTCCCAAACAGTGTCTTTCTGGGAAATGCTACAAGCAACATCAAATGGGATACCCCAAAATTTAAGTGGGTGAACAGGAAGAAAACAAATTCTGAAAGACAGCGGATTCTAAAAAGTGAAAGCTTTTTCACTCGGAGCTAAAGGACAAAGCACAGAAGTCGCAGCCGGCTGTCCAGCTCTCAGTCCCCAGTCATTGTTCTCTGGGCAACAAAGGGACGAGTAACCCTTCCAGCCCTGCGCCGTCAGCACTCACTGTGGACAGTGGATAATGTCCGGGCAGGGTGCCGCTGCTTCTTCCTTCCTATATTCATTTGTTCTTTCATTCTTTCTTTAATATGGAAATACGAGACATGTTGCCACCTAATCCCTTTCCTTTGGCGATTTGGGTTTGAAATGCTAAACATCACCACATAAACTACGACAGACCTTCTGAATCTGCAAGGGCAAAGCAGTCCCAGCTCTGTGTTTAGTGCGGGGCCTGGCTGTGGCACAGGAAGGTCCACCCACTGGCCACCATCCAACTCGAGACGAACGTGATGAAGCAAGCACAGCGCAGCCGCAGCTCTCGGACGGACGCCACGCCACATGTTCTTCATGTGCTCTCCCACCGTCTTCCGCAAGCACAGCGAGAAGACGTTTTTACAAGATCCCAAACCCATTCCACACGACCATGACTGTTTTACTTTACAACTCAGTAAAGTTGAAAGCTTTACTGAGAAAGATTAAGCTTAATTCTATACTACATTATTTTCCAATACATTCCTTCATTTGGTACCAAGCAGAAGATGTTTCAGTAGGAAGGAGAGAAGACTCTTTAATCTACTAATTCTTACCTGTCCCTGAAAGAAAAGGACTTCAACGTTACCTGCCTTTAGTTCTAATCAGAGAGGACTAGCACCTCTCCCCATTTGTGGTTCTTTAATCGAGTACAGGTCAGTATCAGAGGTCAAGTCCATTTAGTTAAAAATAGGTAGAAATGATAAAGAAACTCAGAGAGGGTTGTGCACAAATACAGATGATATGCCACTCAACAGCTGAAATAAAATTCCCATCCCTTAGAATTCATCAATGTTTACTGCTTGAAACATGTCATACAAACTATAAGGAAGGAATTGGCGGGTGCTCTTAAATCTCTCCAACTAGACTAATATCAAATTTAAACACTGCTTCAGTGTGTTTTTGCAGTTTTAAGAAAATACAAAGAGTGGCTGGCAGGTTATTTTCAGGGGAGGTCGAGTAGAAATATAGCACTATCTCTCTAAATCTATGCTTTACCAAATCTGTGTTTCACACATTTTACAACTTCCCAATAAACTTTGTTTGCATTAAAAAATAATACTACAAGAACATCAAAAAAAATGTGCAAAGGCAAGCATGCGCAAGCCCGTCCCTCATAAAAGGTAATGGACTAGAAATGGGGCGGTTGTTAAATACCAGGTAATGGGCTACAATGCTCACGGCCCTCCTGACGTCGCCATCAGCCTTGTGTGGAGCCAGGAGTGGGTAACTCATTGCAGTGCCGCAGAGGGCACTAAGAACCAGGTTTAAGGGAAAAACAATTGTTTTAATGTTCCTCACTATTAAAGCAAAACAAGATATAGATAATGAGCAGTGTTCCTTCTCCTTAGAATGTTTTCCAACCAGACGCTGGGGGAAAAATTACAAGAACAGTCATCATGGAAAACGTTAGCATTTAAGGCTGAGACTTAATGCCTGCTTAACAAGTAAACGCCCCAGGTGTGGTAACTTCCAAGAATGCTAAGATTGAAAATGCAGTTACCTGCACTAAAGCCTACACCTGACCACATCCTTCTTTCCTTTAGGATCCAGACCCAGGGAGGGAGGCTATTTTCTCCATTACGATTCTAGAAAGCTGAGATGGGTAAAGAAGTATTAAAAGAGGAAGACTATGATTTTCTTTGTTAAATAAACTTTTATTTTGGAACAGTGTTAGATTTACAGAAAAGTTGCAAAGGTGGTACAGAGAGTTCCCAAAACCCTCTCACTCAGTTTCTCCACTGTTAGCACCTTCCATTACCAGAGTACGTGTTGGAACTAAGAAACCAACATTGGTTACTAATAACTAAACTCCAGTCTTTATTTGGATTTCACTAGTTTTTCCATTAGTAAGCCCTGTCTGTTTCAGGATCCAGTCCAGGGCTGGATAAATACCAGGGCACGTTACATTTAGTAGTGATAAGTTCATGGATTTTTAATGCTTATGCAGGCTCCCTAAATGTGCAGGTTTCAGCCTTGGACCACTCCCCTAATCCTAGGCACCTGCCTTTTGCTTACCTCTTATCACTGTAAAGGGGTCCAGGGGACAACACGAATTGACATAACAGTAAGTACCATTAGCAGGTGGTCCATTATGCCCCTCTGATACAAAAGCCCCTGCTCACTGCTTAATGGGTATGACATTTCCTTTTGGCGTGATGAAACGTTTTGGAACTCGACAGAGGTAGTGGTTGTACAACACTGTGAATGCACCAAAAGCCAAGGAATTATTCACTTTAAAATGGTTAATTTTCTGTTATGTGAATTTCACCTCAATTTAAAAAAAAGCCCTATGCCTCCTGGACACACACTTTGGACACAACCTATTACTCAACATGGGAATAACTTGGGCCAAGCACTCAAAATTACGCCCCTTCTCTGTGTCAGTCTCTTCAGTGGTTTCTCACTGAAGTGAGAATAAAATCCAAATTCTGTACCAGGGCCCAGAGGTACCGCCCTGACCTGGGCCCTACCTTCCACCTCCGCCCGTCCCCTCATTGCCCGCGGGGTGTTCCACCACGCCGGCTCCCATCAGTCCTTAGACTGTGCCAAGCCTTCCTCAACACAAGGTTTCCGGGCTGCTGCTTCCGCTGCCTGGGAATCCCTGTCTGCGGCTTTTCACACGGCTGGCCGCTCCTCACACTGCCTGCCTCAGTTCAAGTGCCCCCCAAGGCCTCCTCTGACTACACCAGTCTGAAGGAGCTCCCCCTTCTGTTCTTGGTCACAGCCCCTAGTCAACAAATTGGAATTATTTATTAAGTCCCTCGTCTGCCTGATTTTCACCTGTATTCCTAGCACTTAGCACAGTGGCTGGCACATGGCAAAGGGGCTTGGGAGATACCTATTGTTGAACTTGATGAGGGAATGAGTGGAATGACGACCAGCTCTCTCTACTTGCCCTGCTGGACGAGAGCAGAGACGGAAGACGGATGAGGATGGAAGAAACTGGCTGTTGCCTTGCAGGGAGTCGGCCCTGAGTGCTGTGGGGTTTCGGGGTTGGGGGGAATCCTCTTAAGCCTTAGGGATTGAGTTGGTCCAGGGAAGGGACCCTTTACCACTGGGAACTGGGGAAATGGATTTTCTTTAGTCACTTTCTCTTTTTCTAACATTTCCCACACCAGTGTTTCATAAGGAAGCCCAGTAACTGGAAAAGATCCAGAGCATAAAGTGGGGGCAGGGTCGGCCTGCCTCCCTCAGCCCAGGCACCTGCATGGACCACTAGGGCTCGGGGAACCTGAGTTTCAAAGTGGGGTTGAGCTTGGAACAACTCAAAGCCTCTGACTTTTTAAGACATAATTTACATACAGTAAAACTTACCCTTTTGTAGTAATATAGTTCTGAGTTTGGACGTATGTGTACAGTTGTGTAATTACTACAATTAAGACACAGAATATTTCCATTGCCCCAAGTTCCCTCGTGTTCCCACCAATCTGATTTCTGTCCCTAAGGTTTTGTTTTTTCCGGAATGTCATATAAATGGAATCAGACAGTGAGCAGCCTTTTATGTCTGGCTTTTTCACTTTTAAAAAAAGCCTCTGATCGTGTTTTCCTAATGCCTCTTGAGTAAGAAGCAAAAAGTAAAACTTACCTTCTGGAATACTTGATAGTTGGATTTGGACCATATATCAAGCTGGGGGGACAAGAGATAAAAATCATCAGCATCAGTATTAGGATTTGGGACCCCAAGAAATGAGATTGTAACTGCTGTTATCTTTATTAAACTTGAAAAAAAAAATCCTGGTTATAGAATAATAGAAACTTAGTGTTGAAAAGGATCTTAAACGTCCTACTTCAGTTTCCTCTTTAGCAGTCCGCAGGTGATTTAAGAAAACTAAGTGAAGAAATGCAGGGAAGTCAACCTGAGGCACTTGTTGCTTCCAAGGCTCACACGAGCAGAGCCCCTTGCTCACTTCCCTAACCTCGACTCCTGCCACAGCTCTCTCGCATTACACGACATGCCAACAAAGGTCCTGCCTCAGGACCTTTGCACTGGCTGTGCTCTTTGCCTGGACTGTTTTCCCCACAGCCCTCATGTGGCTCTTTTTGTACTTCCTTTAGCTCAAATGTCACCTCATCAGAGAGGCATTTTCCAGTTACCCTATCAAAATATTCTTCCCAGTACTTGTTATCTTGATTCTCTTTACCCTTTCAAAACTTAATTTTTCTAACACTTAAAACTGCCTGAAGCTCTATTATTTGTTTACTTGCTTACTGTCTGACTTGCCCATGGGAATGTAAGCTTGTTGAGGGCAGCAGGCTTGTCTTGCTCCGCACTGCCTCCCCAGGTCCTGAGATGGGGCCTAGCACATCGTAGGCACCAGCAGGTCTTTGCTGCTGAGCACCTGCTCCATGCCGGGCACCACACTCGCCCCTCCATGCGCTCTCCGTGGAATCCCAGATCGAGCCCGTGCGGCTGGCCCCATCGGCCACCTACATTCCAGACAATGAGACAAGGGTTCAGAGCCCTTCATCAGGCCAAGGTTATCTGGCATCTCATGGATGGTCTCACCTGGTGGTGTTTAAACCTGGCTGGGCATCAGAAGCCCCTAGGGGGAATTTTTTGATTTTTAATATACAGATTCCTTGGTCCCTCCTGTGGAGTGTCTGAATTAGTAGGTCTGGAGCGAGCCTAAGAGTCTGTTCCTTTCTTTGTCTGTTTTTAGCAGTGCTCCCAGGTTAACTGGGATGCCTGGTTGGTCAGGAACTCCTAATCTAGGGCAGCCCAACTTAACAAATGAGGACAGTAGAGGTCCAAGATAAAATGTGGGTAAAGCTCAGAGTAAACCCAGTCCAGTCCTCCTCTGGCCACACTTGGTCACACACAGGGTACCTTTTTGGTTTTCACTGGCTTGCATGATAAACCAAATTAATGCCTTCTGTTTCAAGAGTTTAGAACAAACTGAGTATGGCAAAAATAGAATTACCCCCAGTACAGTGATGGGAGACAGCTCAAGCATAGTGATTAAGTGAGGAAGCCATCAGTATGTTCCATAGGTGCAAAAGAGTCAACTTTACTATACGAGTTCAAGAGCTGAGTAAATTGAAACACCTGGTCAACAGGCCTCTTGGAACCTGCCTCTGGGGTTAACCGGTGGTCAAGGTAGAAACCTGAGACATAGCTGTTTAAGCCGGTATGTTGTATTATTGATTTTTGAGCACCAGAAGCATGAGAAGCAATTGGATAGGAAGACTCCTTTGAGAAGACAGGACGTGAAGCACTGCTTTGACCTGGGACACTTCAGAGCTCTGTTTCTATTCTGAGGAAAACACCGACATTTGGCTTTCTGAAAACAGTGCTTGGAAATTAAAAGTTGGGCTGTGAACCGGCATACATTCAGTTCTCCTGGCTTCTTCCTGTTCACAATTAGTTTCATATAAATTTCACCGTCTCTGAAAACTTTAAGGACAGTAGAGGAGGTTAAGATGATGCTGAGGCCGCTCTGGGCCTCTGCAGGGCTCCTGCTGGAGAGGGTGGAGGTTTAGTTAATCCAGCTCCAGGATCGGTAACGGGAGAGATTTCACTGACCAAACATTCATTCACCCAACCTGGAAACATACCTCCAGTCCACCCACTTCTCCCTATCCCCACTGCTTGCACCGTCTTCTTCCTGGATTTCCACAAAAGCCCCTAAAGGAACCCCCGCCTTCCGCTCTGGCTAAACGGCCCTTCAGAAAGGCGGTGTCACCCCCAGACTTAAACCACTGGATGGAAGTAAGAATCTGAAAAATCTTCAGGCATTAGAATTTTAATTTGACAGGTTAACAATTTGCAGGGGGGAAAGTGACATGTTACCCACCTCCAGGTAACTCTGAAGGAAACCTCCAAAGAAACATATGAAATTAATTCCCTACCCTATCAATTCTGTTGAAGAAAAGTACTGTTGGGCAGCTGGTCATATTTGGGAGGATAAATCAGGTTCATCTTACTTTCTCCGTGCAGCAGTTTAGACCAGGGCTTAACAAATGCAGCATTTTAAGATTATTCAGGGATTGCAGGATGAATAAGAATGACTTTTTGCATCTTTTAGTTGTACCCAAATCACTGCCAAGATGACAGGGTGACACCAAAGATTCTCAATCTCAATTCGAGGAAGAGTAACATCAATGTCTGAACTTGGAACTAATATAGTTCTCCTTCCATTTTAAGCCCACAGCTGTTTCTTCTGAAGTTCTCCACTGTTTATCCTTCCTGCCTGCTCACATCATACATAAGCAGACCAAGACATAAACACAGAGTCACGAAAAAACAGAAAAGGAAAAAGAATCTGTGTAGACTAAAAAGTTATAGTTTTTATTTAAAAGAGAAAATTATTTTGAAAAACCTCCAGGGTCTGTGAAATGTTTTAATAATAATAATAAAAAGAACTAGGGAGAAATATGCATAGGTTTAATTAAAAGGTTGACTCTCCAGCCTTATTGTGGATTCTCAAAACCACCACACTTATTCAAAGTGAGGATGTTGCTCCTTTTTGAAAGGAGGTTTAAATATATTATTCAGGACCCTAGAGAACAGTTCCTACCATCTGGGACAGAAGGACCTTAGATAATATGGTCTATTTACCTGGTGCACATGGTAAGAAAGGGATCCAAAAACAATGGGCTCCTCTTTTGCTGGGAACAAACAGCAGGTGGTTTGTACTTGATTTTCTGCTAGATTTATGCCAAAGAAAGCCATTTAAATGAGCATTCTGGAATCAATGACCTGCCTCTCCTTAGGGCCAGGAAGATTTCAGAAATTCATCTCAGGGAGCCAGGACCGATCTCAATGAGTATTTATTAGCTTCAGTTTGTTCACGGCAAAGGCAGGCATGGCTATCAATTTTTTTGCTGGCTGCAATATTCAAAAGAAAAAGAGCATTCTGTAAACTGCAAACCTTAAGCCTGATGAACAAGAAATTATTCTGAATTACAGTGTCAGAAAAAAGAAAGTGAAGCATCCCCTCAGTATTCTGGGCAAGCATTAGAAAGATCTGAAAATGGAAAAGTCAACCTGTGGTAACTGGTGGCTGAATCTGCAGTCTTAGCAGAAGCTTCCTGATTCCGGGGATTGCAGTAAGTATTTTAGGGGCAGAAATGTGGTCTATTCTCAAGTGTAATGAAAACAAACCCTACAGATGACCAACTGCTTTAGCATAGACACATCGTCCATCGGCTCTCACGAAAAACACCAAGATGTCAAAAGACCTCTCGATGCACAAGAAGAACTAGTGAAAGTTGTGACAAACCAAATTTATTCACTGAAAATAATCTGAATGTCAACATCAGCAGGCATGGTAATTCTGACTGTGATGCTGACCACCACCATGACCTCCCGTCACAACCAGTGAGGGCAGATACCATTTACTGGTGATGATGCATTTGGCCTGCACTTATCCAAGTTATATTAAATTATCTTTTAAAATCCTCTCAGCAATAGCACGAGGATAAAATAATTTCTGCTTCACAGATGAGGACACCAAGGCTCAGAAAAGTTAAACAACTTGTCCAACGTCACGTAGTTAATTTGTGGTGAATCTGAAACTAGGTCTGTGTCCAGAGCCCCAGCTCCCACCCTGCCTTTCAGCTGGCCTTCAGTGGAGCACTCACTCTGAGTGTCCCCTAAGCCTTCGCCTGCACAGTTCTTCTGGGCGTGGGGGGGCTCTCACACAGTTCTGTTTAAGGCCTACTGCTGTGACAATCACTGCTAAAATTCATTCACCAGCAAGTGAAAATTGTGGCAGCTTATCAGAAAGTTATCAATTCTCTACTTCATTTCAAAAAACAGTACAATCAATTTTAAATTATCTAAAATGAACAGACACTTTCAAATAAAACTCATAAGCTGCACGAGAGTTTCAAATTTTAAAGCTTTTATTTAGTAGCTTCATCTTGCAAGGTCAACAGGTGATAGACATGTTAGTTTGGGTAGACTACTACAAACCAGCGAAGGTGATGGATTTGTCCATGGTTGCCCAAGCTTTCAAAACCATAAACTTCTATGCGGTCATCTTAAGCCTCCCACCCTTCCCAGAGAATAAAGAGTGAGCAAGTCTCACCTAAGAACAGCGTTATAGGTCTATTATTCTTCAACTTTTCACTTTCAATCAGGACATGCATTTGTTACTAAAAAACTGCTGAAAGCACAATTTCAGGGCATCCTCTGCATATGAATTAAACTGGATTCCCCTTTCCCTGGCTTTCACCCTTCCCCCTAGAAGTAACAAGAGGCCATTTTTCTGAAGGTCGTCTGAACAATTTCAAAGGCTATAACAAATCAAAATGTTCCCTGCATCTAATATCAAATGGGGCTGATGCCAACACTTATTAGAGAAATCAGATTCAAACTTCCCCCAACCCCCTCGACCCAACACACACACACATATCCAACTTTGAAGTGGGAAGAATGCAGGGATCAGAAATTACCCTGGAGACAGCTCTGGCTGTCTTTGAAGGATTCCTTTGATACCACCATTTCTTTTCCTCTCTTGCGCTCAGAGGCTAAAAGCTGCCTTTTTTATTGATATGGGGTAATTAATGAAGCTATAGCATTAACATAACCTAAATCCCCTAATAAGATAAATTCAACCGAGACACTTGTATTTTTTTAGTTAAGTCTGACTAGTATAAAATCAGGACAATGGCCAGGTACTCATCTTAAGTTTTGCCTTTTAACATGCTGAGTCATGGCTCTTGCTACTCCCCGATTACAATGAATAGCAGTCAGTAAGTTTTAAAAGCATTTTTATTTTTTATTAGAGGAATCAGGCTACTGGTGCTTGGTATCGAAAATATGCACCATAGGTAAAGAGACAGGACACTAGGGTAGCGGTGGTGGTTGTTACTGCAAAGTATAAAGCAGTAGCCTTGCTAGGATGGATTCTGATGGGGGAAAAACCTGCCGGATCTGGAAACTGGGGGTGGTGCTGGGCCACTACTGTAGCAACAGGGGTAATTAAACCTTTTAGAATGTGCTGGTTGCTTTGGGCTTAGAGGACACGGACAACTGCATAAGCAGAAGTTAAGCCCATAGGAGGCTTTCCCAGCCACGCCCCGTGCATTGGTGGCTGTGCTCCAGGAGACTGCAGCAAAACACTCCCCTGCAACCACTCAGGCACCAACTCAGCAAATGCAGGCCTTCGTCTTTGGAACAGCAAAATTGCAATCAATAATTTGTTCTTGCAGACCACACCTCAAGCTCCAATGGCTCCTTCCAAACATTCCATTTTATTTGGGATGTGCCAGACATTTCTACACATTAATTGTACTAATGCTTGTATGCATATAAATACATATAAGTACATACATACCAGTGTCAGTACTCAAAATAGAACACTAATAATGTCTGCACGGTTTTATTTTTATCATTTGCAAAGTGCTCTGAAAAAAAGAAGGGGCTAATCAAATTGGTTAGGATTAGCTTCTGGGCAGAACAGTCATTTGAGAGCTTCTCTACAAAATGTAGTCAATGCACCCTTTAACAGAGGGGCCTCTTCCTCACATCTTGCTATTTCCAGTTTTAGGGTCTCTGCTTACTGCTCCACTGTATGCAGTTGTAAAAGGAGGCCTGAGGCTTCCTGTCCCACTACATTTCTGATGTCAACCACAGCTGAGTTCAGGTACCTATACACACACCCATTTTTTTCCTGATGAACAGAAAAACCAGGCTGATCTCTCGTCAGAACATGTGTGTCTCCTCTATCCTCTGACTTACTCATGACTTCAACTCCTGTTGCTTCTTTTAGTTCCTGTTTCTCATTTTTGATTCTCTACTTTTCCATTCCACTAAAACACTTTCACATCCCAAGCATGCCTTCATTACCCCTCCCATATATGACTGGGCCTCTACTGTCTTCTAGGCACTGAGGCATACCCCAGGGACAAAGAGTCAGGTTGAGCTTGCGCCCTCAAAAAGCTCCTGCTTGATGCAGGTGTGAGACCTGGCTCTGTATGGCTGTGGGCAAGTTACTTTACCACTCTAGGTCTCAGTTTCCTTAGGTAAAAAATGAGTCTAATGGCAGTACTATGTCATGATACTGTTAGGAGAATTTGATAACCACTAAAGCTAAGTTTGCTTCGTGCAATGCTTACCAGACCAAAACATGCTAATATTGTTAGTATTTGTATTAATTGCAAGATAGACATGTAAACCAATAGTCATGATGTATTAATACTAGTACTAGCAAAAGACTGTTCAAAATTCTATGTGAGTAGCAATAACGAAACCTGGGTATGCCACCTCCAGAGCCCATGCTCACTAGCACAGTGCTCCTACAGGAGGCCATTGGAAGATGGGACAGGATGGGAAGAAAGATGGCATTATGCTAGTATAAAGGGAAGAGCAAAAGTTTGCCAGGTGGACTAGGAGGGGTAACTGGCCCACAGCAAAGGGCACAGAATGTGCAAATGTGTGAGAGTCTGGCATGTCCTGGGAGCCACAGGCTGGAAAGTAAGACAAGATGTGTATGAGAATGATGGCAGATGAGGTCAGAAAGGAAGGTGGGGCCCAATCATTAGGCATTTATATGCCTTGCAGAGGATTCTGTATTTTATTCTGTAAGCCAGAGTTTTCAGAAGTGTCTGTGAAATACCAATGTCACAAAATGCTCCAAGAATAAAGAAAAAAAAGAAAGAAATTGGTGGCCAAATAAGTTAGGAAAATACTGCCTACTATATATTCCTCTTCAAAGATTCAAAAGCACAAAGCAAACTAGAGTAAAGAAACCCACTGAACTTTCTATAACCCAGAGTTTCTCCAACTTGTTTGATCACGAACTGCTTTGTGCCTAATGTCTATTTATATCTTACTTTCCTACCTGGGGGAGGGCTGCTTTGGGCAATGGGGAGATAGTGAAAAGCAAGAGAATCATACACTTGCACGTGTATTTTAGGAAGACAGCTCTGGAAGCCAAGTGAAGGACAGACTGTGGAGGGAAGCAGAGCTGGAGACTCAAAGTGAGGCGCTTGCGCAGTTCTTCAGTTCAGAGATAATGAGAGCCCGCGGAGTGGGGGTGGACAGCAGGGGCCAGTGTGAGAAATATTTAAGAGGGAGAACTGCCAGCACCCACTGACAGGCTAGATATGGGGGATGAAGGGAAGAAAGGTTTGAGCAATTAAGTGGTGGTACTGTTAACCAAGATAAGGAAGAGAAGAGGGAAAATGAGTTTAGGGAGAAAGATGAGTTTAGTTTCGCATGGGCTGAACTTGCGGGATATCTGGGAAGGAGAAGTCTGATCTAGAAACAAATCACGGTTGGGTGACATGGGTGAGAGTGGCCAAGGGGAACGGGCAGAGGGAGAAGAAAACCCTGGGAAGCCAGGAAGTTGGGGGAAGGGGGAAAGAAGGTGTCACCAGAGAAGTTTTAGAATTACTATACACATGAGACTATTCTCCAAGTCCCTGTTATAAGTGCAGAATAGAAATAATACTCACCATTTAGCGAGTATTTACTAGGTAGCAAAGTGCTTTATGTGTATTATTTTGGACACTTTCAGTATGGGGCAATTAAATAAACAGAATGTTAAAGGTATCATGCAAAGTAGATAAAATCTCCACTCCTTATAATCTAAATGCAGATTATGCTTCATTTGCCACCCTGAGTTTGGTAATTCTAGCAGCATGGTCCTGATTACTACTTAGCTTTTTATGTTCTCTTTTTTTTTTTTTGAGACAGAGTCTCACTCTGTTGCCCAGGCTAGAGTGCCGTGGCGTCATCCTAGTTCACAGCAACCTCAAACTCCTGGGCTCAAGCAATCCTCCTGCCTCTGCCTCCCAAGTAGCTGGGACTACAGGCATGTGCCACCACGCTTGGCTAACTTTTTTCTATTTTTAATTGTTTGGCTAATTTCTTTCTATTTTTAGTAGAGACGAGGTCTCACTCTTGCTCGGGCTGGTCTCGAACTCCTGACCTTGAGCGATCCACCAGCTTTGGCCTCCCAGAGTGCTAGGATTACAGGCGTGAGCCACCACGCCCGGTCAGCTTTTTATGTTCTTTATCTTTCCAATTCACTTGTAAGTCCCTGGCGAGCAAGGCCGAGTTTCATACCAAGTATGGCTGTAAGGTTGTCAACATTGAAAAAACCCAACAAAAATGGCATCTGTAACCACCGCTGCGTAAATGTCTCTGAGGGTACACACTGCCCAAGTGCTGCTTCTGCTGCTGACAGTGTGGAAGCCCCTCCGAAGCCACCGAGCTCACGGGATTACCCACTCTACATACTTGCTCCAAAGACATTTGGTTTTCCCAAACCAAAAAAAAAAAGGAAACTTCCCCTCAATGAACGATTGGCTCTCAATGGGGAGACTTACAAGAAGCTGGCACAGTCCTTGGAGGAAGAGTAGCTTCCCACATGACAACACTCATGTGGAATGTGGAAATGACGGGTTACTTGTTCAAAACAAAATCTCGTTACATCATGGGCCACATTTCTTATACAACACACTGTTATGTGCTAAGCCACATTTATCACCTTTTTTTGAATATTCTATTCTCATTATAAAGTGGTTGTTGGGTGGTGAGTGCTAGTACAAACAAACTTTTAAAGAGATTCCTGAAGGGAGGGAAGGCTCCTGATGGGGAAGGGGGCACCAGGGCTCAGTGCTAGGGAGTGCCTGGGAGAGTCAGGGTGTGTGTCTTGGGCCGGGTGCTCATCACACTCTGGAGGCAAACACAAATGAAGGCTGTCAGCTCCTATTAGCATCCTCTAACGCTCCGTAGAGCCATATGGAGAGTGTGCAGTCAAAAGAATTAGGGGTTCACACGGGTGAACTTTCCATGAAACATACCACCCATGGAAATAACTTGTCTTCTTTCAGCAGCAGTATTCAGTATGTGCTGCTGTGTACAAGCAAATTCCTGAGGGCTACTTGTTAGTTTCATGGAAAAAGAGTGTCATCAGGTGGTGTCAGACTAACTCGAATTTTCCTCATGGTTCTAGGAAAAGCAAAACGCTGAACCCTGGGCTATTGATGAGCTGCTTGACTTGGAAAAAAAAATCCATTTCCTCAGAAGACACGTTTAATGAGGCAACTGGGGTCTAAGGTGATAAATTAGAAATTCAACTAAAGCATCAGGCTTAGAGGAAAAAGCAGAGGCTTGATGAAAAATGCAAGCACAGAGAATGAAACGTTTTTTTGTAAAGTGTTCATCTTCACACTGACAAATCTACGTTTTGTTGATCATTTCAGCTATGATTGCTAGTTTTTAATGTCGTTCATCCGGGACTCTACAACATTTGCTCTGGGATACAGAAAACAAAGGGAAAAATAAGACTCCAGAATGCTTACCTTGCCATCTTCTGTGTAGACATTTTCATTATACCCTTTTACTATTGTTCGATCAATGAACAGGCTCCGCATGACGACGATCACTTTCAAAACCTTGCCCAAGGTCACCTGTCAAAACAAGTGCATACAAACATGAAAGCTTACACTTGAACATGCAAATCACACAAAGTTGGGCAGGGCTATAAGAAGAAACTATCACCTACTTATCCTGTTTCTGAAAAATGCACAGAGGACATTCTGAGGGAAGTCACAGTGCTTGCCCCTGTACATTGGAGGGCAAACTCTAAACCGCAGCAAGTTCTTCTATAATAACTTAAAGATGTTGCGGGCCCCAGCTCATCTAACTACCCTGAATTTATCTATATTTTGGGCTTATAAACTCTCAGGATAAGTTTCATATGTTTACTATTTACTGGATAAAGTAACCCCCATCTTAAGATTATTTTCTTCAAAGGCTAGGATCCTATAATTCTGGCATTCTCGGATTTAGTGAGCACATTAACTTTCATATGATGTCATGGCCCTCTGTAAACCTACGGAGTATGCAGAGAGTACACTATAGAGAGTGAAGGCAGGCACCAAATGCCCCTTGGTTGAACGATCTATTTATAATAGCTGATAAACTGTGGAGAAACAATACCAAATGAAGTCTGGGGGTAAAAGGAAAGTAGCTGAATTTTACCTCCAAAAAAGAAACATGATCTTGGAAATACATTTAAGTGCTTTTACTCTCTTAGAACTTAAGCATGTATTATGGATTAAAAAAAAACCTAAAAAAAAGTGCAGTTTCATATATGCCAGGGAAAAAGGAACCTGCTGTGCTTGCTGGAATAGGCTCAGCACCAAGAATAGAAACAACACCTTCCTTTCTTTTAGGGGTGCTATGGTTTGGATAGGGTTTGTCCCCATCAAAACTCATGTTGAAATTTGCCCCCCAATGTGGTGGTGTTAGGAGGTAGGGCCTGGTGGGAGGTGTTTGGGCCATGAGGGTAGATCTCTCACGAATGGCTTGGTGCCCCTGTCCAGCTAGTGAGTTCTCTGGCGAGACTGGATCAGTTCTGGAGGGAATGGGCCAGGTTCCTGGATAGTGGGTTGTTATAAGGCCAGGATGCCCCTTGGGCTTTGCTCTTCACACACGTCCATTTCCCTGTTGATCTTCTACCATGTTGTGACGCAGTACAGCACGAAAGCTCTCACCAGAAGCCAAGTAGGTGCCAGCACCATGCTTCTTGTACTTCCCAACCCACAGAACTGTGAACTAAATAAGCCTCTTTTCTTTATGAATTACTCAGCCTCAGGTATTCTGTCATAGCAACACTAAATGAGCTAAGACAAAGGGCTCCTCTAACTCTTCTGATACTTTGCTAAGCCTTTTCCTTTCATTTCATAGATGAGACACTTGAGGCACAACCTGCCCAGGACCCACCCATGATCTGGGTTGTTCCGATGGGGCCTGACATCACAGAATTAGCTGAAAGAAAGCCCTGCTAGTCTGCATGAGACAAGAGCCTCAGCCCCCAGTGGCAATCCTGGTCCTTCCCATCCCACCGTCAGTTTCTGGGATGCTACCTTCCACCATCCTTTCTTATTTCCCCATCCCTTGCAGTTTTCAGCTCATTTTTCCAACAACAACCTTTCTCTTTCCTTGATTAGTGCTGGGGATCAGTGAACACCCCCAACATGTGGTTCTTTCAATAATTTTAAGTGCTGGGTTGATGTCACTATTTTTGTGTATGTAAAATGGTAAAGAATATAAACAGAGTAAGAAAAAGATATGATACGTTTATTTACATTTAAAGGAATACTAGTAAAAACACCTTATTTCTGTACAGTATTTTAAAATATTGTCACACCAAGTAACATTCAAGGGGGGTCATTTTTTGTGTAACTGAAAATCACTATTTAAGGAGGCCAGTAAACCACAAAAGTAGGATCAGAAACTCTGTGTTTTGTCAACAAGTAGCCTATTGGAAGGAAGGGAGGGAGGGAAGGAGAGCAATCGAATTACAGTTTTTTTAATCACATGTACTGAAATCAATAGCTTCTCACACACCTCCTCCAAAAGGGCCACCATTTTCAACTGCACATGTTAACTCTCTTTGCTGATAAGTATAGATAACTATGCAATTGTTGCCTCGAATCATCAAAATCTAGCTGCCTTTAATTAACTGAAACATTGCCTTAGTAATTTCTTAAGTTTCTTAAAATGGAGTTCAGACGAGATTGGGCAGGTTCAGGGTGGTATGGCCATAGACAAGATGGATTTCAGAAAAACACACTGAAAACACCAGAACTTTTATATTTAAAAGTTTTTTGTTTTAAAAGTTAATTTTGGTATTTTAAAGTTGATACTAAAGAAGTTAAAAAATAAATGTTTATTATGGAAAAATCTAAAATTAGAGAAAAAAGAAGGTAATTGTTCAATCTTCCCATACAAAGATAATCACCATAACATTTGGGGTACTTTCTTTTAATCTTATTACCAAAGATTTATGGCTTTTGAATTTTTAACAAGGCTGTAATAGAAGCTATATATATATAAAATTTCAAATCAAATTTTACTTAAAATGATGACAAGCATTGTTCCACAATGCCATGCAGTCTTACGAAACAGTGTTAGATGCGGCGTGGCATTCTATTGAATGGATATACTGTAGTTCCTTGAACCATTCTCCTATTGTTGGACAGTTAAGTTGTTTCCAGGATTCCCCTCATAGAAATATGGCTGCAATGTGCACTTTTATTCATAAAATTTTCACTACATTTGGGATTATTTCCTTAGGATAGATTAGCAGAATTGTAATTACTGGGGCAACAGTACTAATATCTTAAGGCTTTTGATACAATCCACCTAGCTGCTAACCACAAGGGTTATGCCAACCAGAAAGGTATGAACACACCTATTTCACTTTGCTCTTGTCAGCAATGGGAGCTATAAAATCAAAACGACATAAAATCTAGTAATCCTCCCCCTGAAATACCAGTTTGATTTTTAAAAACCTTTATTATGGAAGATTTAAAAACATACAAAAGTAAATTAAAGAGGATAAAGAAGCCCCATAAGTCCATCCCACCTTCAACGATGACCAACTCATGGCCAATCTTATGTTACCCATCTCCACTTCCTTTTTCCCCTCCCTGTGTTATTCTGAAACCAATAACGGCCATGACATCATTTCATCTGTAAATATTTCAGTACATATATCTAAAAGAAAGGACTCTGAAAGCAAAAAAGCGTAATTCTGACACCATCCTACATCTAAAACAATAATTCTCTAACATCTTCGAACATCCAGTTCAGTCAGTATTCAAATTCCCAATAGTCTCATAAATGCTTTATAAAATTTGCTTGTATCAGGAGCCAAATATGGTCCACACAATCTGACTGATAGACACGACTCATAGGTCTCTCCCAAACTCCAGGTAGCTCCCTCTCAACCCTCTCCCCCATCTTATTTGTTGAAGAAACTGGGTTATTTGCTGTGGAGTTTCCCATGGTCTGGATTTGCTGATGGTATCCCCATGGTATACTTTAACATGTCCTTCCTTACTCTATACTTTCTGCAAATTGGTAATTAGGTGAGATTCCGGTTTGATTTTCTTTGGCAAGACTGCTTCCAGAGCTGTAGTGGTTTATGGACAGTGTTGTGAAGTCTTGTGCTGACTTACTTTTAGTATATTTTAAATTAATAAAGCTCTATGAAGTTTGTCAATTCTTATTTTTTTACAGAGCCAGAAAGGATCCTGGAGCTCATCTAAGTTGAACAGGTATAGATACGGGGCTTTCTGAATTTTTAACACGGTCCTAATACACGTATTTTGAAGCCTAACATTTTAGGGCTTTGGACTCAGGTCTTGGCTCTGCTACTGGAAAGCTTGGCCCACTTATCTGCCTTCTCTGAACATCAGCATCCTCCCATCTGAATGGAGAGAATGACCCCCCACCTCAGAATGACGGTAAGGAGCCAATGGGACAACGCATCAACATGGGAGATGGCATGGGGGGCCTGGTACAGGCTAAGTTCTTAGTGGCAGCTATTGTTATTTGGCCCAAACCCTTGTTCGGACTTTGCTGTGGTGAAATGATTTGAAGCCAGTTAACATCAAAGCTGGAACCTGAAACACTGTGGACTCAAGGTTGGTGAACTTGCCACTTACGTTAATCTTGCCTCCTGTTGTCATATCCTAGGTTAAGACAAGCTGCTCAGAGTGGATGACAGTTGTGCTGGGCCCTGAAGGATGAATAAAACTGTGGGGTCTGATGAGTGACTGCTCAGCACAAAGAGTCAGGCACGTTAGGAGCACTTTAGGTGCCATGTGCCTGACCTCGCCTGACCTCACCAATCCCAGTGGTGGCCATCCAGTGTAAAGGAAAAGTGCTTGAACTCTTGCACTGGGCTTCAGTCCTAACCATGTCACTTCCAGGTAGTGTGACCCAGGACAACTCAGAAAACTGCTCGTGCCTGTTTACTCGGCTTAGAAATGTGGAGGGCCCTGTTCAGGAAATTTTAGGGGATGATCCACATAAAACTAGTGGCTAGCAGTGTGGCACACAACAAAGCTCAACAGCTGTTAGCTCTCCTTTTTCTTCAGAGTTTGGTGTAGTAGAAAGGGTAACACCGAGCCCTTCCAGCCCTGCCATCAAGAAGGAGGTTAATACATGTTCTCTAAAGTTCCGTCCAGCCCTAACATCATACTACAGTGATTCAGATTCTCATGTATCTGGAATGTGCCGGTTTCTAATGTATCGGGATGCACCAGGTTGTAGTGACCTTGGACTTCTGATTGACTGATATGGCAACGCATCACATACAGGCCAATGGACATCTTTCCACAAACTAGCCAATGCTGGTCACAGTCAGAAGCAAAACGCCCACTGACAGGGGCTACAGGTTGGTTCTTGGCAACTGCTGTGGGATACCACAAATAAAAGCTAATGCCATCTGGTAATGAAGTAGGCTTGCTGTTGCCAAGGTAACACTTTTCTATACCGAGAAGCACATTTCCAAAGAGCTCACTCACTACTTATGGTAAAGAGAATCAGAGGAGGCACTATGCTTCCTGAGTAGGAATGAATGTGCACTTGAAAAGGAAGCTGAGCTGGCCTC